GTACAGGTTTCCAAATAATTATTTTTGTCAAATTTGATTGGTTTGTTATCAATTTTTATGCTAACCCTAACCCCTTCCCAGCCATTTTAATTTCTTCAAAAATAAGCATAGGATTTTAAAACAGGGTATGACTCTATGCAAAGCACTCAAATATCAATCACTGATCATTTGCTCTTTCACATTTTTGTTGAGCCATCAAATTTTTATCAGCGCGAACCTCGTTACTGGAAATTAAACGATGAAACTTTAACAAACGATGCCATTTCAATTTGTACGGATCTATAAAACTAGTTTGAAATTGAAATATTAAATACAATAAAAAACGTGTAGATCAAAAAGGACTCACTCATTTGATATAACTAGACTAATTTTTGCATTCACAACGGAAAATCTCCGAATCCTAAATTATTTGGAAATAAACATTTGTTGCTGGAACATCTTCAAAAGACCTCAAAGGAAAAACATTTCAGCTATATTTTCGAGGGTGTGCCCAAGTTTTGTAGTCAATGGACCTCAAACAACACAATTAACTCAATCAAACAAAATCAAATGGAAAAGAACGTTTATCATACGGATGATATTCTTAATCAATTGCCGAAGTATTTTTCAAATGTTTTTTCTGGTAGTTCAACAACAAACTCCGAAATTTACTGATGACTTTTGATCGAACAAAAAACTAGAAAAAAGTATAGTAGTAAGAGAGATATTGAGATAAATGTTTTTTTTTTATCGGCCAGCTTCAAAATTCATCGCGGTGGGCGACGAGGTTGCCCTCTTTCCGCATTTTGCTTATACTTTTTTATCGAACCCCTTCTTCAAGCTTACCACACAACTTGACTTATCAAATCTGATGTTTTGACAGGTTGTTTCGCTTAATCGGAATTTTTAGCAAAAAAATTGTTTGCAAATGATGATTAGTGTAAATAAGAGTCAAGTGCTTTCCATACCTGATTTATCACTCTAAAGCATAGCAAAGGTTGGTATCAATTTTACAAAAGATGATGACCTTCTCCGCTAACTCTTCTCGCGCTAACATATAATCAAACCAACCAGTTTTCGATTCAGATGGCACGAATTCTTTTTTCATTGAAAATTATTGAAAAGAGAGGGAGAAAATGACTACCGACCATTTATTGATTCAGAAGTTTCGAATGCGGTTAAGAAAGGTTTATAGAGATTTTTCTTGGACCAGTCGGACTTACTTTGGGCTTACATCAGTAGTTTATTGATTAAGATAATGATACTTTAGTTGAAGTTTTCATTTTCAACCTTTCCAATTTCAAAACTCGTGCTAGTTTTTTTTCTTGCATTTATAAGAACTGTTGCCTAAACAAAAAATGCAATATGGCGCAAAAAATTTGACCAATGTGTCCAATGAACAGTGATGCTAAAACTTTTTCTCATGTGGCATATATACGCTTAAAAGAGTTCGCTCTTCTTCCTCATCTCGTTGTAAAAAAAATTCCAGAGGAAAAATAGCGGTCGCCCAGCCACCCCCTCCCCTCAGCACGCTACTGATTCCACAGAACAGATTGATTCTGGCAAACGATGTAAAAATGTCTGATAGACGTTACTTTTTTTTGCACAGTCTGCATAAAGACAATATAGGCTATAGACAAAACAGCTCAAACTTGTGATAACATTATGACACTATATAACCCTGATAACTCCTATTGTCCTATTGCATATTTTAGTCTTGTTCCCGAATCTGAAGATAAGTTCTTGGAAGTTTAGTCGTTCTATGCTTTCAGAATCAGTTAAAAAAAGAATAGACACCCTTTTCAGTGTGTCAAAATTGTTGTTGATAATCTTTTATTGTCATTGAAACATTCAATTTTATCAAATATGGTATGGATAATTATTTAATTTGGGCGGACTTTACAAACACAATCAAAAAGAGAAAAAAAGTGCTCTAGAACGCCGAGGAAAAAACGCAACTCTGAACAGTGGGAGTTTACTCAATCTTCCAGAGCAAGTATCACTCGCCTCATTTTTTAAGCATTGTAATATGTCCTTTCAGTTCATATAATCACGGGGCAAAAATTTGCTACTTTTTGATTTGAAGCAAAAGAATATCTAGTTTTAGATGTGTTCTTGCTGTAGAAAGATTCTGGTTTTCAGGGCTCGATTTAGTTGTTTGAGAAACCTATGAGCGTGACTTACTCCTTATTTAGAGGAAAAATAACCCACAGAAGAAAAAAATTATTTGTTCTGGCATCAATAGACGGTCGTATCGTTTTCACAATATTTAGATTAACATGTCTTGGCCGCTTATACCAGAGATTTGGACGAAAATTCGAGACAACTTAACTACTTTAGAATCCTGTGCTCGGATTGAAATAGCTGTTTTTGTCTGTCGCTTTTTAGTTGAATAAGAAAAATATCTCATCAGTTTCCGAAAGAACTAATTTGGGCCCATAAATATGATTTTCTTGTTCTTTGCGAGCGTGATTCCACCGCAAAAACACCTGAAGTTAGTTATGATTTACTGGCTATTTTACTCCTTCAAAGCATGATTTCTCCTTTATCTGTCTAGGCCTTTCAAAAAAAGTTTTATGTATGCTTATATCTTAAATTCTTGCATTAAAAACAAAAAAGACGTGAAGAAAAGTAATTTGAAGAATGTACAAAATGAATATTAAATTGGGGCGAGTCATACTTTGTTAATATAATTTGTCTGTTACAGTTCATGTTTATTGTTATATTCCCCCTCACTGAAGTCTAAAGTCCCTATAAAAAATGTCCAACAGTTTAAGGATTAATTTGATGATTGATAACATTCCATTTTTGTACCTTGAAACTAATAATTGGGGGGGGGGGGGTTGTTAATTGTTATCAAAGTCTCCCAGTTTTACCATCGATGTCTCCCAATTTTACGTATACTTAATTTCCTTGAGTTGTTTGCGAGAGTTATTCCACCGCAAAAACACCTCTGAAATTAATTATGATTTACAGGCAATTTACACCTTCAAAGCATGTTTTCTCAAGCTTTGATCTGTTTAACTCTTTCAAAAATAGTTTTATCAGGCAATATATCTAAACTACTTTCATTGAAAACAAAAGGCTGGGAGAAAAGTAAATTAAAGAAACTACAACATGAATAACAAAATGGGGTGAGTCCGGTTTTGTTAATATATTTTGGCTGTTATACTTCAGATTTATTGTTATATTCCCCTTCCTTATGTTCCTTATTAAAAAAAATGTCCAACACTTCGAAGGAATAATTTGATGACTGACAACATTCCAATTTTGGGGGGTTGTTAGTTGTTATCAATGTCTCCTAATTTCACCAAAATTTAATATATGCAAATCAAATTATCAAAATGGGATGATTTCGGTGTTGTTGACATAGTTGGGCTGTTAGATTTCAGGAATACTAGGGTGTAATGTACCTCGGGAGCTTTAAAAAGATCAGTGAACGTGAAAAATTTTTATTTAAAAAATACATGGAAAAAACAACGAAAAAATGCAAGCGTAACAAAATACGGCGAATTCAACAACGCTTTTGATTTCAAAGTTTGAAGATAATAATATTTTTAACTTGAAGGGGTTTTAAAATAAAATGGTTAGATCTCCAAAACTACGCGGTTTCAGATCTTGTTATTTTAAACTCAAGCCGAAAACCTAAAATGGCCGACAGCGTACGACAGCATTTTTCCATAATTTAATTGAATTTAAAAGAAAAATTTTGAAATAACATAAAAAATGTCAATTACAAAAACTGGTAGGTTCACGAGCTCTCTGGTGTGAAAAGTAGACACTTTAGATACTGGCCGAAAGATAAGAAATATTCAACATATTTTTGCTAACAATTTATCAGGCTGTTTGGCAATACCCTGCCAAATAAGTCAACACTTTCTTTATGATGTGTCTAGGATTTTAAAACATAATCCAATTATAAGGTGTTTACTTAAACGCACCAAGTTTAGGCGTAAGTAATCGATTATAACGGATTTTTATAATAATTTTTTGATAATTATAATTGATTATAATTACCAAAATTAGGTGTTTAAAGGATTTATAATTGATTGTAATCGTGATATTTTCCAAAAAATTATAATTTTTTAAAATTGATTATAGTTCAAAAAACCCTTAAAACCAATTATAATTGATTATAATCTCTTATTTTGCCAAAATTTTGTCAATTCGAAACTATATTCGGATTATATCTTATGAGTTATTATTTTTGTGTCAATAAGAAAAATGAAAGTTTTACCACGAAACAAAAGTTTCATAGAGATCCTTTCATTTGAGTGGAAAGGTTCCCGCGGTAAATGAAAAAAGATATCTTCCGAATCAAACATGAAACTAAATCAATTTGCTGATGTTTTGGTGTCTGAGAAAGCTTAAAATATGCATCACAAAACAGCTCTAATGGGGGAAAATGAAAAAAAAACTGATAATTTTGAAATAATTGGAAAACTTTAGAAAAAATTTCTTTATTTTCATAGAAACCAACGTCTACAAACAGCATAAAATTTAAGCAATTTAGATGCAATTTCGAAGACAAAATTTAGATGCAACTTCGAAGACAAAATTTGACTTTAAAAAGAGAGATTATAATCGATTATTAATTGATTAAAATCGATTGTTTTTCAATTATAGTAAGATTGGTACCAAAATCGTAATATATTCGGTTTTTAACGCTTGAAACTGGATGCGGATAACGCAAAACTTCGTTCAACTTGCTCTTGTATACAATTTCGGCTCACAAAGCTCGCTGGTGTGAAAAAAAACTAGATTTTGGCCTAAAGAGAGTGCAAAAATTTTCAAGATAAGCTAACTTAACTGAAAAAGTAGAGATTGTTTGTATTTTTTTTATCAGTTCTTAGATTTCTAGCTCTCTAACTTTTACGATTCTTATTGCTGGTTGTTCCCGATTTTACTTTTATTGCCAAATTTTCGAATTGAATGTCTACTGTTGTTACTAGGCTGTCGGTGTGAGAAAAAAGTTTACATGTAATTCTGTACATTGATTCGAAATAGACAAACTTCCATGTTTCAATTCAATAATTCATTGCTTTTCTCATTTTTTTTAACCAATTCTTCGAGATTATACTGCATTTCGCAATGAAGTTTTTCATATTTGATACGAAGGCTACAAACTCTCTAATGCTTCAGGTCGAAGTTTTTTCATCATATTTTTGTTCAACTGGTCATAAACAAATATTGTTTTTCCCTTGTTTCTGATCATTCTACTCTGGTGTGGTTCTTCCACAATTTGAGGTACAATGTTTCATGAAAAGCTGTTTTGTGGTCCACAATCATATCGGCTATTGATACTACTGTTCGTCCAATTTGACTGGTGTTTCAAGTGACATGGGTGGAATACTTTCATTTGTTCAGGCATCAACTCTTTGTTCTCAGACAGCCTTCGAAGAAGATTGTACGGGAGTTCAGTTCACACCACCTTATTGGACGTAATAACCAGCATAAATTCAGCAAGTTTTAGTTAGGGAGGCCACCTGTTAACAAGAAAAACAAAAAAAAATCTACCGATTTATTCCAATTTTACTGTCCTTTCAGGTTTTGCGCTACAATATTTGCATCAGCTTAAGGGTCTTGAATTTCAAGAATCTTTCATCATTGATAGAACTAATTCAAATTAATTCAGAAAACTGAATCAGTAAGATTTTTTATCTGGCTGAAAATTCTTATATTCAATTTTGAAACTAAAAGGCAAGCTCAACCTCATTTTTCCCTCAATTAGCTCTTTTGTCATTTGGAGAGCGTAATCGGCCGTCCATTAGAAGATCATCAATCAGAAAAAACGGATAACCCACATTGCAAATTTTTCATTTTCAAATTATTTATTCATGTAATTATGGCTAAATTTGTGAACGACACGAAGAACACATATTGCACGGGACGAAGAACGATTTCAGAATAAATAATTTGTCCGTTATGCCAAGTTTCATTACCATATGACAACGCTGAATTTTTTTTCTCAAAATTGAAAATGAAATGTAAGTGTTTATAGAAAAAGGCATATAATCCCGGCAAGAAATCAGAATTCATAACAAAATTCAAAAAAATATATTTGCTTTTAAAATTCAAAAAAAGAGCGCAAAAGTTTAGCTGGAAAAACATAGTTTATTCACTTCGTTCACTAACACTTCAAAAATCTTATCAGCCCAATTATTATCCAGACTCTGAAATTAAACTTTATCGCGACAATATTGAAACCTATTAAAAAAAACTAGAAACACGAGCAGTACAGATCTTTACCGAGAAACGCTAATATACTCAGGCGCTTTTTTACTTTATTTTCTGGGCTGTAAAGTTTCCTCGCGTAAGTTACGAGCATAAGCAGAGGCACATAGCATAGATCTTTGTTTTTTGTCTCTAATATAACCAAACAATCATGCGATGTGCTGAACAAATCAACTTCAGTTCAATTTTCATGAGTCGCTCGCGGCAGCAATGACTAACAGAAAACCAGGATGCTCTTCAGCATCTCTCGTAGGATTTTCTGAAAAGTCACTGCTGGGATTGAGAGCTCAGTTACTTTGAAAATTGAATGTATTTACAGCACGAGCACTTCGGATTTGCCCATACTATGATCTCTCCTAAGGGTTTTGATTTGAACAAAACTTTGACGCAATAAATAAACGATACTTAGTTTTTCTGGCGATTCTGGTTGCGCTGGATGCTGGCGTATATGAATATTTACGATACGTGAATTGTCGACATAGTTCATCAGAGCCTATAGGTTTCCAGAAGACTTGATGTGGCAAAACTTTGATTTGAGCCCATTCGACTCTACATAATGGCCGTTGTGACCTCTAACCTTTGCTCTCTTGCATACATCATTCATTGCTTAATCGTGAACAAATACACTCGAGCGCACGCCCAATCTCTGCACATTTCACGTGGCTGAAACACAAACACTAGTCGGTAGAGTCTTTTGACCGGCTTTGTTAATGCAAAAAATGCGAGCTAAAAGTTCTCACACACATGCCAATACACAATTCGGGTAAAGATGAATGACAGCAAATGTTCGAAATAGAAAGTCCAGCACAATCCTGGATTCCAAACCAACAAGCTTTTGCTCGACAGACAAACTCTTAGTTTTCGATCATAAACATGGAATATAATAGGCGTTATTCTAAAATAAGCTATCTAATCAATTTCTATATATGCTAAATTATCAAATAAGGATCGATAGATGCAAAATCTAAGTGTTAACAGATGAATTTTATTTGAGTTTTAACACCTAGACATCCTATTGAACCAAGAGATCTGGTACTAGCCAGAATCTATACCCAGACGTATTCCTTTTATATAATCAAAAATAAAAGTGTAGGACAATGCTGCATTTTGAGGCGATGCTGAATTTCACTAACAAAAAGGATAAAAATACATCAACACAGCCAACAACACTGACTTGAGAAAATTGGATAAAAAACTGCTATTTAAATTCTGAAGCAAAATATGGAAATTAAATAAATGAAAATAATTGTCCTTTACTAGTAGTTTGTTCACGCTCAGTTTTACATTTTTCGCTTTGCCTTTCGATTTCTTCTTAGGTTTTTCAAATGATCAATTAAATAGGAAGGTTAAAAATGGAAGACTAGCGTTAAAAAAAGTCATTGATAAAGATATCTGGTGTAATTCTTTTTTGATGCGCAAAAGATAAAATAAACAGGAAAACTAAAATATAAACAACAGACATTTGGAAAAGAGTCAATGAACGCAAGCAAACCGAAGCGAGATAGTGACTTGTTGCTTGAAAAATCTCTGGTTTCGAATTTCAAAGAAAAAAATAGATGACCTTAGAGCTCTTTGAATCCATAGAACAAGATATGATTGACACTTTTTCGATGATAATCAAATTCGAGAAAACAAGATAAATAGGTACATTTCTTATTTCTCTGGGCAATCAAGAAATTAAAATCCACTTTCGAAAACAGACTAATGATAACCCAATTTGAGAAATTTGAATGATTAGTTTTTTTTCGCCACAATTTCTGAAAAAAAAAAATCAATTATTGAATTTTCAAACGCGTTTTCCCGTCATTCCACCTTTGCTACTTGCGAGTATAATCTCCATTCTATTTTTGTTACCGTAATCCTATTTCAATTTCATGCATACGGAAAAAAAAACAAGATTCGACCGGTCCTCGCTCCCTAGACCATGGGGTACAAAGGCATGGGCTACCTCTAGGCCAAATGGGAACGAACCTGGAAGTTCTTAAAGTTAACACAGAGGAGAAGCTTAGCTTCGCAAACACTAGCGAGAACACGACAAAAAGCAGCTCTATTAAGTGCAATAAGAAAAATTGGAAATAAGCCTCGAATTAGTAAAACATCGGCTGCGTCTGAGATTCGAACCTGCGCCCTAGAGATTATGATTCTCGCACACTAACCACGCAGGCTTTATAGGAACCAATCACTAGCCAAAATAAACCAGACAGATGCTTTGCAATTTCCAATGCTACAGTGCAAATTCCAAATAAGTGAACACTGTTAAGTAACACTTTTATTTGCGAGTTCGGTTTTAAAAAAAGGTTCTTAATAATACACTAAGCTGATCGCTAGTGTAATAATAGAGCAAGTAATAAAAGCATGAAAGATTTATAGAAAATTTGTTTACGGGAAAAAAGTCTAGTTCCCAATTACAAGACATTTGCTTTCGCAAGTGCAATATGAGTCTTCACTACGTTCATCGACTCTTAGACAGCGAAAACTCACTTGGCCAATCAATTTCGTGGTAGTAAACGCTGGTAAGGTTTTTCAAAAAACACAGTCAAACTTACTCTCGAGAATGAAATTGTCAACAACTATTTTTCGATAACCCTCGGGAATTATGTTTGCCAGTGTGCGGAAAGGCACCACTTGGCCTTTAACAAAACGTATTCGAAAAATTTAAATCAATAGCTATAAAAACAAATAATTTTAGTCTGAACGTACAACATTTTCAACGAAAACCTTTAATAAAATGACCTATGCTTGACTTGTGACTTGCTGATAAAGATTCCAGTTGAGAGCCGGTCCATTTTTCTCCCAGTTTAATTTGGAATTCGACAATTCATCGTTCATGGGAATTCACATGTCAAAACTGAAAAACTTTTCACAAATTAAAACAACAACACTGTAAGACCTAATTTGACCCTCATACAAGCTTGAAAGAAACAAAACAATTTAAGCTTCAATCATCTTTCTATCAACTTCTTCAGCTCATATCTTTCTTTTAAATCATCATCTAATTGGAAATAAAGGTAAAATAAATAAACAGCCAACAGGTCTGAAAAATGTAAATGAACTCAAATACACCTATAAAAACTACGATTTTCAAAACATAGCTAACAGACATTGGAAAAGAGTCCTGAACGCAACGAAATAGACAAAAAATACAGACTTGTCTTTTGCAAAAAAACTTCCACTTTCGAAATTCAAAGTAGAAATAGATGGCCTTAAAGCTTTTTGAACTTCAAAAACAATTTAAAATTGACTACTTTGTTTGATAAAAATGAATCAATTTAAGAAAACTGGATCAATATGTAAATTTTTTATTACGCTAAGAAATCTGATAAACAAAACCCTGTCGAAACTAGAAATCCTTCACGTTTTTCATGACCTTCACACTTTTATTGTTAGATAGCGGAGTTTGCCATTCTTTCAACTGAGGTGAAGGAGTGAAGTGAAAGAAATCAAAATTCAAACAGCGAAAATGCAAAATTTAGCGTGAACGAGTTTTGAAGACTTTTTCCTGAAAGAAAAACAAAAAATAACCAAGACCTATATAAGATTATTAACAACGTTCATGACTCTCAAAAACATTCATTTTTATTTGCGTAGAAAACAATAGAATACAGACAGTTGGAAAAGTGTCGATGAACTGAAAAAAAACGGTGAAAATTTTTTTGAACATTCATCTTGTTGAAATTTTGAAATGAAAAAAAAAATATATATATCCTTCAATTAAAAAATCTCTTTTGATGGAAAATTTTCAAAATTAAATCTTATATTAAGGTAACTTTTCAATTCCACTCTAAAAATCCTGGTTAATTTTTTTGTTTAATTTAGAACCCAGCCTCGATTTCATCATACATAACTTCCAATTATTTTATTGAAGTTAGTGCATTGCAACGCCCAACGCGTATTAAACAGAATTGCACAGCGGTTAAAATTGGTTTTCACTCGTTCATTGTAGTTTAATTCGAAAATTTTCTTTTAGGGCATTTCTTAATCAAATTAAAATGTTCGCGTGTCTACAAATTCCCTTTCGATGTTCGCGTGTCTACAAATTCCCTTTCGAGTATCATTTTTCTTCCATTTAGCAAACGAACTACAACTTTTAAAGAAATCAAAAGTCAAGACCCCTTATAAACAATTGAGCATGATCATCAATTATTTACACAGAGGCGAAGCGACGCTTCGCTAACACAAGCCAGAAAACAACCAAAATTAGCTGTAACAAAAACTTGAAAGAAACGGTAAAAATAAGCCTTGAAAATTAAAACTTTTGCTATGGCGGATTCGAAATTACGACCAGATTAGGAGTCGCACGTCCTCCCATCTATATGAATGTAATTGGGCTTTCACATGACATTGGGCTTTTTGCATGTAAAATTTTGAAAATATAACAAACTGGGCACCCACACACACTAGCTTAGCATTTAATAAATTGGAAAGCATGGCGCCAAGCTATGTATAAATTATGCATTTCAAAAATATTGAGTTATATTGAGTTGAAAATTTTCTTAAATCGAGTTTTTATTATTGTACTAGTTTTAAACAAATATCTTTTTTTGGTTCGTATCATTTGAAGAATGAAAAATAATTTAAAAAAATGAAAGATGCATCAACTGTTTTAACTTATGATTTACCGAATGTCAAAGCACATCACAAAGACGTAAAATTGCCCCAAACTTGGCACCAATATTTGTGACTTAGGTTGAAACCAAAAGAATTATCGTACTATTACACTACTCCCGCTAAGCTTGTGTAATAACTTGTATAATACTTCTTAATCATATCACACTACCTATATAAGTCAAAAATTACTACGTTCATTACTACTTAAAAGGCTATCGACTATCAAGTTTCTAATTCGCTAAACTTTCCAAGTTCTCCTTAATCTGCTTAAATCTAGAAGCCTTCAAAGTCAGTATGTTCAAATAGATTAAAGCTGCTATTTCTGGATGAAGACATTTTTTTGCAATTTCTTGATCTGTCGCTTAGAGCTCTTCGACAGAATCTTCATCATCTTCGACCTCGTACGCTTGTACAGTCTTCAGACTTGAACTATGACCCTCAATCCTATTTTGACCTTGATTAAATCTATGGACATCTTTCCTCTGGACATTCCCCAGATTCTGAGGCTCAACTATTTTGTTACCTCGACTAAGACTCTGCATTTCAACTCTTTTCCGACCTTGACTGAAATTTTGAGCTTCATCTTTACGAAGACCTTGGGCAAAATTTTGAGTGTCGACTATCTTGTGACCTTGACCGACAAGCAGAATTTCTGCGTCATTGTTTCCTGGACTCGTGATCCGAACTTCACTGGAAATTGAACGTTCATAGTCACTAACCTTGGCTTTCTTCGAAGACGAATGAAAATCCCCATGCGAGGTCAATGACTGACGAATTGAAGTATCACCTACACGCTTCAACTGCGCCTTTCGAGGCCTCGTTCTAGGTCCATCCGACTTTTCTTCACTAGGCAGCAGCAGATGGTTTTTTGCCTCATCGATCAAACTGCGACAAGAATCATCATGTTTCACAAGATCGTCTGAACTTACTCGGATCAAAGCCTTAGGTGACATTACGCAAAATCTGACATGCGAAAGGACGTCTGATAAAAAAAATTGCCGGCTTTTTGCGTCATACTTGACCCATTGGATGATTGCATGAAACAAATCCTCTTCGTTTTCTACGTTTAAATCATCACTTGCAGTAATTTCGATTAGCTGGTCTTTCGACAGTAGTAGAAATTCGTCTTCTTTCATGACCTTAAAAAATGAATAATCTCAAAGAAAACCTCGAGGCGTTGAATTACGTTTTTCTGAATAATACTAATTATAATTTACTTTCAGGCCAGATACTCAGAAGCGTATATAGGTTAATAAATTGTAGGTTTAACACCTAGGTCGGCTTGGAAAAAATCCAAAAAGGCATCAGCCTGTCGCGTGGCATCTCCAAGAGAAAACTATATTCACTTAATTTGATAAATGGCCAACAGATAGGCAAAGTGCGAAAAAAGCCTATTTTAAAGTAAATGCAATCGAATTACATCAATCATACTTCATTTTTTCCGGATCATTTTTACCTAATTAGTTCAACCTATAATAAAAGATCAAAAACTTTCTGTTTAATTTCATATTCGAAGATTGAGCCTTTGAGCACTCAAATGGAGAATAAAGAAGAAAACAAAAGGTAATTTGTTGCATGCTTTTGCTATACTCTGACGATCATACGACTTATTTAACTATTTCCAATGACCACTTTTATTTTCTTCTACTTAATTAAAAATATACCATTCAAAAGTTCATTAGATTTCCGAAAGTGTTGACAGTCAGTTTTATTCTAACTTGAAAGAAAACAAACGATAACTTCAAGATTTTGAGAAACGTTGATTAAAGTGAGCTCACCTCCTGTATGTTATCGTGTATGTAGTCGTCTGACGCTTGGACTAGATGTCTACAGGAGTAGGTGTCCGCAAATGCCATGATACCCAGACAGTTCGTGGGGTCCAGCTGCTGCTGCAGGAATTCCCCACACGCGTCCAACACCTGAGTAGTGAAAACATCATCTATACTATTATAAAGATCTATTTTATATATAGGTTTGTGGAATCCTTTATTTTACGCTGAACCAAAAGATTCGAGTTTTTTATTTAGTGAGAAACACCCATCGAGTGCAGGCAATGGTAGAACAGATCATGATTTCCTTTGATATTCAATTCAATTAGATGGTTGTTTTGAACATTAGCGTCATTATCATTATCGACTTGAAGAATCTTTTTTCGTTTTGAATTAAGGCCTACAACGAATCAACGCCACTGCAACTTTCCGAAGTACTGAAATTGAAACAATTACAAGATATTGTATCACTTTTTTTCTCTAAGATTGAAATCTTTTTTATGACAGTGATTCATTAATGAGCTACCAAATCGAAGGTGAGAAAAACGTTTCGAACATCAATTCATCGTGTGACGAAAAGAATATTCAACTTGCAAATATATTAGTCCAAAAACACGAAAAGGAAAAACGCACAAAAAAGATCCCCCAATGTGAGCCGAGACGTGAACAAACTAATTTTGCCTCGTTTCCAAAACTAACAGAGACTTCAGTTTTGTAAAAAGGCGGTTTTTACGGTTTTCTGCTGCTTCGAGCGTTTGAACAAAGGCGAAGGTACAACTTATAGGAGACCCCCGAATAACGCATGTTTTCGAGAAGTGCTTTAAGACCAGCTTTGAATTTTTTTTACGATTCTTCAATTCTCAATTTCTGAGAATTGAAGAAACACTGACAGTTTATTCAAAGATACCGCCTGCAAAAAGAAAAAGAGCCTTTTCCGTATGCTGTTCTTACTTTTGGCAGAACGAGTCAACTTGAATTTGATCTACTGATTTTCACTCTTTTTGGCATTTTTTTCCGGATATTTACAAACATCAACTCTGTTTCATTCTTCTCCATATTTATTAGAAGACCTGCGTTTGTGAACCAGTTTACAACTTGGTTGAAGTCTTTCTGAATATCGGCCGTACTTTCAGGTTTATTAGAGAAACAAATAAAATAGTCGTCTGCGTAAATCTGATAAGCAAAACTTATTCTAATGAAAACGTCTCGCAGCGGTGTCATGTAGTTTGAAAAAGTAGCGGCCCTAGTAGAGATCCCTGAAGAAGAGCAGTTGACAGGAAACAGTTTCAATAACAACTTTTTACTTTCACACCTTGATTTCTATTGTTTACGTATGAAATTATTATTTCTAAGGCAGTATCTTGGATTCGAAAGGTTTTACTTTAAGTTGGTTGAAGATTTTAATGGTTTAGAGTATCAAAAGCAGGTGATAAGTCTAGCGCAGTTAAGACTAATGTTTTTCGTTGGTCAAGATTTGTCATCATATCAGAGGAAGGCGTTCTCGGTCGAATAAGCGTTTCTGTAAAAGCTCCTCTAGCTAATTAAGTGATAGTAATTGGTCAAAAAAATAGTAATTGCTCATTTAAATGGTCAAAAAATTTTCTCAAAAATGTTGCTGAAAAACAGATACGACAACAGTTGATCATTGTCTAGTTTTGGTTCCTTTAATTGAGGCTTGACAAACACTTTTTTGAAAAATGAATTCAATTCGGGAGAGTTATTGGAGAAATTTTTGTCTTGAAAAAGAAAACGTCCCATTCGATCTAACTTACAACTTTCCGTTTTGTAAGCGGATTCACAACACTATACCACTGACAGCTGGTAACTCCAAGTTTCATACAAACTCATACCTTCAAACTTGCTGTGCTGATAAACCAGGCAGCAATGACTCCGCTATTATAATCGTACTTGGGCCCAGCTAAAGTGTTTGATAATTTTTGACGTTATTGTACTGATGCTGGAAATAGGTAATTTTTGAGAATATGGTTTCCCAATGACATTAAATTTTCCTACAGAAGTTAAGGCGCAGCCGCTTACGCGCAAAGGCTTTCCACCACCCATTGTCTCAATTGAACCCTTGATATCAGATTTGATTGAGTATTTTTTGAGAAGAGTCAACTTTAAAAAAAAAACGGACAAGAAATCAAAACATTGACTTTTCTGAGGTCTATAAATTTTTTGTTATAACATTTGCTTGTCGCCATTTAAACGGGGGAGCTTCTATCAACCCTTTATTTTGATAGAGTCCAAAATCTCATATTTGGAGTATGAGGTTTTCGAGACAAGTCAAAAAGTTTTTAGAAAAAACGGTCAAAAAATCATAATTCAACTTTTCTGAAGCCATCTTTAGTGTAAGAAAAGTTTAGACGTAGCCACTTATAAAGCGGAGCTTCACACGACCTGTTCCTTTGATTGAACCCAAAATTTCAGATTTGGGATGGAAGTTTCCAAGATAAGTCAAAAAATTTCAAAAAACCAAATATTTGACTTTTCCGAGGCCCTAACTTTTTTCGGAAAAAAATGGGCTTAGCCAAAAAAGCAGGGGAGCTTCGCACAACCTGATTTTTGGATTGAAACCAAGTTATCAGATTTAGGAGTGTAGTTTTCGATAAAAATCAAAAATATAACTTTTCCGAGGACGATAACTTTTCATGTTAAAAAGTTTGGTTTAAGCCGTTAAAGGCTATTATAACCATATTATAACTCATAAAAAAGGTTCGGACTATCAAGTAAGCCGAAGCAAAAACATAGCAGGAAATGTGTTACTATCAAAATAAACTCAGTTTTCACCAGCAATCGTCATAATGATTTTAGTATCAAATCAATGAATGAGATCACACTGTCGTTCAGTAACACTAAACTGTTTTCTGAACCAAAATTTGAATCAAAGATGACAATCTTTGAAATCGAACCTCTTCGATCCTGAGATGACAAGCGGCAGGCAAAAGTACTTGCACATTCGTCCTCTCCACCACTATAGATCCTGTGTAGCAGAAGTCTATTAAAGCATCTACAGCTGCCGAGTCAAAATCATTCAAAGTTACTATATTGTTGTGTCCCTCTAAATCACAAACATGACGTTTATTTTGACTCACCCGAATGAATTTTAATTTTTGTTCCTTTCAAAATAGTCCACAGACAGATAGAAAAGAGTCGGTGAACTCAAAGACCGACTTTTTTTCGAGTATTTCCGAATTTCAAAGAAAAACTACATGCTGTTAAAGCTCTTTGAGGTTACAGAATCTAATTTCAAGAACCATACCCATTTAGCTCAATTACATTTCCTACGAAACATAATAAAAATGTTGCTTAGGATGAACTTATCTCTTACCGGATAATTTATTTGTGAAAATAGCCTTGAAGTATGATGAACATGCAGATAGGACTAGTTTGTGAGCCATGATCGAGCATTCACTTGTTCTGATAGTCACATCGCACATGAATCTAATTCGCCTCATTTTGTTCAGTTCTATCAAAAATGATCGATGGTGATTTTCAGATGCATGGGCTACTTTCTACGACAAAAAAAACTGCATTCACGGTATAAATTGCTTCGGGAGTATTTAGATTAGTTAAAAGAACTTTCTACCCAAAATTACAAAAAAGAACAAAAGTTTCAAAACATCAAAAAACTCAATTAAAAATCAAACTCAATTAAAAATCAAACTCAATTAAATTTTAAAATGTAATGAAAAAGCACCATCAGGGCGGGGAAAAAAGCACTTGAGGAGCACGCGCGTCACGTGAACAAGGACGTCTCGCGTCAGCGACAATTTAACTTTTCAACCAATTTCAAATAGAAGCAGCTATTTCGATCCAAAAACAGTTCTTAAGCATTATGCTTCAGTTTTTGGAAAGCTTCAGGATGATGCCAATCATCGATTGATGATCAATAGCTGCTCCACTAAAACTGTTTTTCTTTCATTCTTAACATCTTTTCTTCCGAACTATAATACTAGTTTTCCGAACCATAAAAGTTAGTTTTCCGAACCATAATACTACCTCATCACTTGATGGTTGCAATGACTCGACCACTACGGGAGTCGCATCGCATGAAGTCAATTCTGGGATTGGTGGCGCCATTTCAGAATCATGCACCGCAATTATTTTTGAAGCAAATAGATGTTTCAACTTGTCTAAAATTTGAAAACCTAATGGTAATCTTCTGAATTCAATATGAACTGACCCCTGAATAGTACACGCAATTTTCAAATTTCAACTGAGAAACACAAAAAACAAAGAATAATTAAAAGCATTAAAACTTATCGCAAGCATTTCATTGTACAGAGCAAACTTATCGCAAGCATTTCATTCACTTGTTCTGATAGTCACATCGCACATGAATCTAATTTGCCTCATTTTGTTCAGTTCTCCCAAAAATGATCGATGATAGCCAACTCATTGTTGTTTTTCCTAGTGCTTTTAGCCTAATTGTTATGATAAACTTATTAAATAGAGAGGGAATTAAAAATGTAAATTACGAACGTTTTCGCACATTTGTACATCATCAGGTTTAAAAGTTTTATAAAATGATCATCGATCATCAAAATATCATAAGTCAATGGCTATACAAAATAAAAAAAATTCAACCAATCAAAAGTTTGCAAACCTTAAATGCGCGCCAAAATTACATAATCATTTTCATCATCAAATTAATGTAACATTCACTCAAACATTACAGTGAAGGAGCGTAGAAAAAGCGCCTATTGACGACTGGCAGGCGTCAGTTATCTTAATTCGACTCGTTTTTCACCGTCGATACCAAGCCAGTTAGTTTTCTAGTCTGTTTAGGGCCAGGGAATTCAATACCAATACAAAGGCCTCAATACCAATACCGAACTGAATCATCAATACCAATACCAATACCAAACCCAGTCAATACCTCAATACTTTGTTACAATTTTAGCAAAAACTTTGAAAACTCGTGCTAGTAAAAATCACGAAACGTTCGAAACACGAAACATTTTGGATCGAAATGTCTTGCATGAATTCTCTATAATTTTCTATGTTTTTTTTTACATATGTACAACAAACTGAGGGAATTCAATAGTTTTAGTAAACTTTTTTGTTTGAATAGTTTTACTTTCTTGTTTTGTTTTTGTTAGATTGTTTTGTTACTCTGTAACAAAACAAAATCCTTTTTTGGTAAAGGTAACATAAACGTTTTTTTTTAGTCAGGAAATGACAACTCGCGAAGATACTGCTGTAACTGAAGTGTTAATGGAATATCGAGTAAACAAAGTTACAACATCTAAAGTCAACAAAAATTTTTACGTGCAGTTTAGGAATCATATTCAAACAGAATGGCGCAAACGTATTAAATGTGACGTCTTAATCAAAGCTCCCAGTATGGGAGACTCGAGTATGCGAAAACATTTTAATGCGTGTTCTGAAACTACTACGTAAAGGTCTGTTGAAAATGATCAATTGAATTTGAGTTTTCAAAAAGTGCCACAAGTATCGCTTCCCAAGGGATTGGATGTTGCCACAAAGCTTGTCTATCAAGACCACACTCCAATGGCAACAGTTGCCAAAAGCGAGGCCTTACAGTCCATGCTCACTGCGTTGAATTTCAGCAAAGTTACCTATCATTCATTGAACAAAACCATGGACAAAAAATATCAATTGATTATCAGTGAAATCAAAAGCACCATTCAGCAACGCGACTCCAACCAAATTTTAACCATAAGTTTTGACAAATGGTCCTCCCAAGATAAAAAAAAAAATAAATCGGCGTTTATCCATATATTGAAGAGAAATCGATTTGTCTTAGGCTTATTCCGTTTAAACATTTTTGCGGAAGTGAAGAGATAGCAGCACACCTTCGCAAGCTGCTGGCTCTCGTTGGTCTAGAACCAAATGACATAGCTGTTTCCGTTACAGACTGTGTTGCGGATGTTCAGAAGGTGGCAGAACTTTTTGGTTGGTACGCGTTTCCGTGTTTAGCTCATGTGATAAACCTCTGTGTAAAGAAGTTGATTTTTGTAAATCGTGATAGCGATAGTGTCACACTTGGGGAAAACACTGACGACCCAACCCTTCAATCTGATGTTGCTTTTGGCGAATCTCGGGAGAATATTGAAACTATGCGCAAAATATGTAAGAAAACGCACAGCTCCCCCAAAACTGTGGATGCTCTTGAAAAGGTGCAGCAAGATGCTGGTCGACAGCCCCTCAAAATTGTGTGTGAAAATTCTACACGTTGGAATTCGTTTTTTGATTCCATAAAACGTTATCTGCAACTTTGTCTCCTTTTAGCAGAAGAATTGACTGATTTTAACTGGGACAGCTTGAAAAGCACCTGCAAGCTTTCACAGCCATTTAAGGAGTGCACCATGAAATTACAGGAAGCCAGTGCTTCTGCTGAAACCACTAAGAAGGTTTTATTGTTTTTACAGTCACGTGTCCAAACTATGAATTCAGACGTCAAAGATGTCTTGAAGAAATGACTGACTGACAACTCAATCGTAGAAGCACATATCAAAAAAGTGGCGATTTCTACAATTTAAAGAGCGATCGGATGATTTATGAAGAAAGTGTGGAAAATGAGCATCAGTATAATCTTCGAAATGACATTCCTTCGAAGAATTTTCCAAGAAGGTGAGCGAGGACTGTTGTGCAGCAAAAGTTGGGAAACGAAAAATCACCAATCCGACTGAATAAAACTAGTGATTCGCAAAGAGTGTAAATTATTTCATGAGTTATAGATAGCAGTCAATTGATTTTTGTTAAATGCGGTTTTAAATAAGTAAATTAGTTCAATCGTAGATTTAGTTCAAGTAGAAAGCTGAGATGTCTCATTTAGGCTTCAACATTCCGCCTCCCTTGAAGTGTCTTCAATTTTCAGATCGTTATTATGTCTGGATATGACTACCCATTTACAGTGTATGAGACGAAGGAGAGGAAGAGTAGGGCGGAGTCGGGTAGAGCACCACGTCTGCTCCACATGGCGAGGTGCGAAGGTCCAGTAGGCGGGGCGCTGTCGACCGGGAGGACCTGCAGGGATTCTTCGATGCAGTGAGCAGAGGAGATCTGGGTTTCACTCCGTTTCCTGTAAAGTCGTTGGATGAGATCCAGTCTTCAAGGAAGGAAGCTGCAATCGTGGATAGGGCAGTTTTAGAAGCAACTTAGAGGTCTTAAACGTATTAGTGACCTCAGCGTAGAAGGGTCATTGTGCACTGGCTGGTAGCAATGATTCGGAGACAGGGTTCACTGATGCTGCTAAGTATCTGAGGAACCTTGGTTCTCAGCAGAAGAAACTGGTCCGCTATGGTGTTCTTGAGAAGGGGAAAAGTTTGTATCTTCCATATGCGTGGTGCCATGCAGTTCTGACTCTCTGCGACGAAGAGAGGGTCTGCTGCATGTACTATGCGGAGATTCAAACTCGACTTTCCTTGGTAGCATCTGCGTGGAAGCGCTGCCAGCAACACTGCACGGTCAACAAGCGAAGAGGATCAGATGACAGCGAATCGCATGACAGCGAATGACTGTTCAACGGTAAATATATAAACAATTATTCAATAAATGAACTAAATGTGACTGCAACATAAGTAAGGAGTATACAAGTGAAGTATTAACGGTACGAGTCATGAGCGAAAGTTTGTCCTAGCTGTTTTCAGACAATAATTACATTTTGGGTCATAAGGGTACAACCTCATACGAGTTTTAATGCTGGGAGTTTACAACATTGGGAATTTACATGAAAGTGGTCAATATGAACAATTCAGACCATTTTGTATTGCATAGAGGGTAATTTAGGTTCCTACTTTCAAAAGGGTCATGGGGGTACTACCACTTAAAATTTGAAAACTGCACATTTTTGATATTTTTCGATTTTTAGCACTATAAAGTCCTTGTTTTAAATGAACTGCCCATTGGATATGACTTGGTTGCTGTACTGGTAGCTTCCGCAGCTTCGCGACTGGGCGTATGTTTTCATCAGTTGTGGTCTTCACTTTTACCACTCGAACAATTGAGTCATTTCCAGGATAAACTTCTATGATTCGTCCAGTTTTCCATTCTAGCGGTCGTTCATTGTCTTCGGCAAGTGGGACTAGGTTGCCAACTTTAAATTCTGGGCCATCCGTGAACTATGTTTTCCGTATTTGTAGCGTTATAAGGTAATCTTTTTTCCAAATTTTCCAGAAATCCTTGATCATATTCTGTAATAGTCGATATCGTACATTGGTTGAAACTTGGATGTCAGCAGAGGGAAGAGTTAGCAATGATTCCCGTATCAGAAAATGAGCGTGTGTCAGCGGAGTTGGGTATTTAGGATCACTTGACTTTGGATACAATGGTCATGAGTTTAACACAGCTTCAATTTGATTAAGAATTGTAAGAAATTCTTCAAAACTGAGACGTTGCAGTCCTATAACTTTTCGCATATTTCTCTTCATGCTTTTTACAGCTGCTTCCCAGAGTCCTCCAAAGTGAGGAGCACGAGGAGGGATGGTGACCCATTCAGTTCCTTGGCTATTGACGAAACTAACAACTGATTTGTCCGTTCCATTTTTGTCGAGCAGTTCCTTGATTTTGATCAGATCATTTCGAGCCCCGATAAAATTGCTTCCATTGTCACTTAAGATCTTCTCAGGTTTGCCACGGCGTGCAGTAAATCATTTCAATGAAAGGATGAATGCTTTTTTGGTTAGACGAGTAACCATTTCCAAATGAATAGATTTTGTCGCGAGACAAACAAAGACGGCAACATAAATTTTTGAGACCCCTGCTTCCTTAATTTCAAAGGGACCAGGAAAGTCTATTCCACATTGAGCAAATGGTTTTGCGGGTGTTATTCTTTCTGTAGGAAGATCAGCCATGAATTGAGAAGTAGTTTGCTGACTAAATCGGACACATCTCATGCATCTTCTAATGAACTGTCGAACTAGATCACGGCCTCCGACAATCCAAACTTCCTCTCTCATTGTGTTCAGTACTAATTGCCCCCCGCCATGAAGAGTATCTTCATGATATTTGCGTATAAGTAGGGATACTAAATCAGATTTTTCTGAAACGAGTATTGGAAACTTCTAGTCTGTTGGGTAGTTCGATTGTGAAAGTCTGCCTCCAACTCTTAGTAGATCGTAATCCTTGTCAAAAAACGGACTAAGATTGAGTAGTTTCGATGTTTTACTCAGCTCCATTTTCACCTTCAGACAATTTGGCTCTGATTTGAATTGTATTTCTTGGTCTAAACGAAGAATTGGCATTTTTGCCATGATTCTATTTTTAGGACTAAGACAATCTTCTTCAAGTTGTACATCAGATGTCCGCTTAGATCTGAGCCGCTTCCGATAGTTTGTCGATATTCTATGCTTAAGATGTTGAACAAATGATAGTACATAGCACGCGATGCCTACTGTCTTGTTCCAAGTGCTGTAGTCCTTTAAACGAAAAATTCCATCCGTCATTTCTTCGTTTTGAGCATGATTTGCGAGAACAGCTCGAATTTGTTCACTTTCTGCATTAGTTTTGGCTTTGGTTCGTTTTTCAGGTGCTTCAACTAGAGATGGTAGTAGGTTGGGCCAGTGCCTTTCATCCTTGTTCAGCCAATCTGGTCCATTCCACCAGAGTGAGGAAGATATTAATGTGTCCGCTAATACACCACGAGAGGCTAAATCAGCTGGATTTACTGCTGTTGGCACGTGTTTCCAATCACTTCTGGGTAGGGTCTCTTGTATTTGTGAAACTCTGTTTGCAACAAAAGTGTTCCACGTTCTTGAAGTTGAGCAAGCCATTGCAAGACAATTGTTGAATCAGTCCGGGCGTGTGAAGTTATCTTGAGATTTGTTTTCCTCAAAATTGAATGAACTGACTTAAGGAGCTCTAATTTGGGAACAGAGATTGCTTTGACCGGAGCAACCTTTGTTTTGGAGGTCAGTAGATACGCAAAAGTTTTGCCATCATCATTGGCAATTCTTGCATAGATTGCGGCTGCATATGCTTTTTCGGAAGCATCACAGAATACGTGAAGTTGACCCTCCTTTATTGGATGTGAGCTCATAGATCTTGGTATCTGTAGTTCCAGTAGTTGAGGCAAAGTTCCGGTGAGCTCATATCATTTTTACTTGGTTTTCTGATCGACTTCAGAATCCCAATCAAAACCTTGGACCCATAGCTGTTGCATGAGACAATTGAAATTGATGATGAATGGGGCTAGCCATCCCATCGGATCAAACAATTTTGAAATTGTGGACAGAAGAGTCCTCTTTGTAAGCAGTTTCAGCTCTGGTAGGCAGTTGAAAAACAAAAGATGTCCTTATTGGGCTTCCAACTGACTCCTAGCGCCTTGATTTTGTATTCGTCAGAGAAAAGTTCCAGCACATCCGATTTTTCGCGGAGATGTTCTGACAATCCTTCAATTATTTTAGCATTGCTTGAAGTCTATTTTCGTAGAGGGAATTCATTAGAGTTCAGCTCTTCGCATAAATCAGAGATGAGTCTTTCTGCTTTATGCTTATCATTAGCGCCACCAAGAAAGTCGTCTACATGGAAACAATTTTTGAGACTTTCTTTGATCATTGGGTTCTTAGATTGATCTGATACTTCATTGAGGCATCTTGTTGAGTGAAAAGCCGACAAAATTATTCCATATGTAACACGTATCATCCTGAGATGCTTGATTTATTTGATCTCCAAAGTATGCGATGGAAATCATTCGATTTGTCCTCTAGAGCATCTTGTCGGTACATTTTTGCGATATCTGTTGATAAAGCAATTGGGTAGAACCTGAAGCGCATGATTATCGAGTAGAGGTCGTCTTGTACCGTGGGACCAACCATCAAAGTGTCGTTGAGTGATTGTCCGATTGATGTTGTTGCAGATCCGTCGAAAACTACACGTAGCTTTGTGGTAGTAGAATCTTCCTTGAAAACGCAGTGATGTGGCAGATAATATACGCTATCAACTGGCTTTTCGATTTCTCCAGGCGGTATGTACTCCATATGCCCCATATCCAGAAATTTGTCTATGAATGCGGTATAGCGATCTTTTAGTTCTGGATTCTGTTCCAGTCGTCGCTCGAGATAATTGAATCTGCGTTTTGCTTGTGCTAAACTGTCGCCAAGTTGACTATTGGGCTTGAAAGGCAGCTGCACGGTGAATTGTCCGTTTTGTAGTATGGTTGTTTCCTTATAGTGAGATTCACATCGATCTTCTTCTGTTGTTGTCTTTTTGAAATCAGGAATCTCTTCTAATTCCCAAAATTTCCTTAGACTATCGTCAATAGACACATGAAATGACTTGAAGAAGGTTGTTGGAGGACCGGGTGTTCTACCGCTAATCATCCAACCAAATAGAGTGTCACGTGCATAAAACTTGTCTGTAAGCTTACTCTTTTCGCAGCCAACAATGTCGTTGTAGACATCACAGCCTAGGATTATATCGATTTCCTTTGGTTTATCAAAGTCTGGGTCCGAGAGCTTAAGACGTGTGATATCCAAACTGTTAGGTATATTCACCCGTTCTCTGGGCAGGTAGCCAGAAAGTTTTTGAAGAGTGAAGGCTTCAGTATGTAGAGATTGATTCTGAGAATCCTTTGTTTCCAGATTGACAGAGCCAGATTTCACAGTTTTTAATCCTCCGCCAACTCGAGTTTCTTGATTGGTAGCTTGAATCAGTTAGCACAGCTGGTTGTAACGAAACTGCATTCAGATCCGCTGTCCAGTAAGGCTCGACCATTGTGATAACCGCCATTTGCAGTTTTCACCTCAATTAGTACAGTTCCCAGTACCCCCGTGACCCGCAAACTTATTTTCAGAACCCGGTTGCTTGTTTGGGTATGTATGGATGTGAAGTAACGAGTGATGACCCTTTCGACAGGTTTGGCACATTGAATTTGACTTGCACTCATAATTTTGGTGTCCAAGGGACAGGCAACTGAAGCATAATCGCTTTGATTTGGCTTCTTGTCTTCTATTGGAAATAGACATTTCCTGAAATTTTGTGCATTGATACACGCAGTGATCACCACTGGAGCATGGGCAGATGATCGTCTTAACAGAGTTTGTGTGGTATGTCTGTACCTTGTCATCTTTCTTAGAGTTTCCAGATTGGTCTGAATTTCCTTGATGATTTTTTCTTTGAATTGAAGGTAACTGGAGGTCCTTCGTAGCTTCTAGGGCGCGAGATCGTTCCTCCAAGAACTTCTTCATCTGTTTGATTTTTGGCAAGTCACTTCCAGCGCAGAAAAATCTCATTGTCTTCTAGTTTCAGGATCTAATTTCTCGGCCAAAACGTGAACCCAGATCAAATCGCATTGATCAATTTTTAGTCCAAGTCCTGACAGTGCCATCGTGTTTTCCGTGTAGGTAATAATCAAGCGACATATTGCAGCGGATGACTCATGCTTCATTAGAGTGAGTTCAAAAATTGCTTCCAAGTGAGCGTGTGAGATCATCTTGACATCAGCATATCGATCCTTTAGAAGTTCCCTTGCGACTGAGTAGTTCGCGTTTGTAGTAGGCAAGTGGGATAGCAAACGAAACGGTTCATCCTTGAGGGCACCCTTTAGGTATTGCAGTTTCTGAACATCAGACAGCGATGCATTTGAGTGAACTGCTCCATCAAAGGAATCTAAGAAAGGTAGCCATTGATCATACCTTCCGCTAAATGTTGGCGAATTCAGTTTCGGCAAATTCAGGCAAGTATCTTGATTTCGACCAGCACCACGTTGGGAAGTGGATTTGTAGGATCCTGTTCCGCTTGCGCTGTCGTCATCTTTGCCCGATTCAGTTGAATATTTTCCTCGGTCATCTAACATGGTTGAGATCATTTCCATCAAACAATCTACTTGAAGGTAGATTTTCTCAGCTTCTTCCAATTCAACTTCAAGTGCATCTTCATCATCGTTTAGAACATTTGAAATTTGCTGATTAAGCTCTTCCAGTTCCTTTTTCTTTCGTTCACACATCGTGAGATTGGCATTGAGAGTTCCAATTTCCTTGTAGGTTAGAGCAGATGCCTCTTTGTTGAAGATTGCTGAGACGGCATTTTCCGATCGGGTAATGACACCGATGTTAGCACTTCTTGATCGCTTCAAAGTAGGAAGATTGAGCGTCACGTTGCTCATGTCACTAGCAGGTGTTGACATTTTAAACTTTCCTCTTTGTTTCTAATCTTTGGTTCGTTCGTGTGTCGCGTTGCACCAAAAATGTTGTGCTGCAAAAATTGGGAAACGAAAAATCACCAATCCGACTGAATAAAACTAGTGATTCGCAAAGAGTGTAAATTATTTCATGAGTTATAGATAGAAGTCAATTGATTTTTGTTAATTGCGGTTTTAAATAAGTAAATCAGTTCAATCGTAGATTTGGTTCAAGTAGAAAGCTGAGATGTCTTTTTTAGGCTTCAACAAGGACGATTTCCGCGTTGAAGACTACATGAAAAGTTTTCGACAAGCGAGCGTAGATCCTGAGTGTCTTTTTTCGCTACGCAAGTACTCAAAAAACAACGTGCAAAACAGAATGACTGCTGAGCACCATGCTCGCAACGTTTTCATCACAAAGAACGCAGAGTTTCTACTTATATTCTGAAAATTGATTTTCTGAAATGTTTTATGTTTTTCTACATATTAGTTTAAGAGTTTTTCTACATATATCTCTTGTATATGTCAGTCAAATCCCCTGAAAAATTTAGCCTTACAATGATTTTTGTGATTTTCTAGTGATCTAAGACAATTCAGAACACCAAGAACCTTGTTTTGATCAATACCATTACGAGGGACCTGGTATTGATCAATACCAAAAACAATACCAGGACCTGGTTTTGATCAATAACAATACCTGATTCTGTCAATACCGATACCAATTTTTCACGGTTTTGAATTCCCCGTTTTGGGCTAAGTAAAAAAGTTACCATTTTTAGGCCATCAACCAAACGACTTTTGATCAGCTTTCGTTTACATGCAAAAATAACCGCATAACTGGGTCTCCGATCCCCAGATTACAAGACTATTATTAAAACACGGCTCGACATCCATTAATTCCTATGTTTTTAGTGACAGTTATACACTAAATCCATTGGAGATGGATTGACCTTTTTCTCTTCCTAGTTACTCATGCTCTGAATATACAACATAAAATTGGAGTTAATTCAGCTACTGAGGGCATCACAGCAGCTAAAAAGTGTATATTGCAGTTTTTTGAGTCTATGGGCACAGGGCCTCCACTTCTGTTCTCCTACTGAGATAACGCTCTTATCTCCTCAACCTCGTGGTACGGGAGTGTACGGATCCACTCCGGCTGTCCCACTGAAGCCTCCTTTTCTTATCTGCTTCAGTTAAGTGCCTTATCGTGCGTGATCGTCGCGATAGGGGACTCCTTTTTTCCCTTGTTTTTATCGACATGTTCGTTCGTTGTGTTTTTTGCTCTTTTTTTGTTTCAAATGGCCGCTCCCGCATTTCTCAGAAACAATCCGCTGAAAATCGAAATTTTGAAATTTAAAAACTCCAGAACATTCCGATCCTCTTTTCCATCACGAATTTGTTTTTAACGTCATTTGAGTCCGTTTTTTTCTCGTCGGAGTGTTCAACCAAGCCAATCCGGGAGAATGGCACATCATTTCATTTCTCTTGCATTGGAGAAGCATGCACCACTCGCACAAATATATCATCGAAACAAAATATTTTCCCCTTAACTGGAAGAAAAACGGTTCGATCACGAATGCAAGACAGAACTGAAGCGACGCGAACAATTGTATTCGTCTTATAAAAGTAATCCTAGTTAAAGTAGCTGGTCTGCTAATAACACTTCGAAAAAGAATTTGAGTAAAATGATAGTAACTAAACAAGAGACCATACTAAGTCGTGTTTTAATGATTTAAAGTTAATGCATTCTCGTTAGTACTTCATTATTAAATTGAGATGCTCAGAAAGTGTCTTAGCTGTTTTTTCTTTGAAAAAATCATTTGGAGATGTTATTGTCGAAAAAAATTCATTTTCAAAACTAGGTATTTTTTTTATTCTAAGTCAATCTCACCATCTGTATCAACTTATTTACTAAAAAACCAGAGTTTAACTTTCGTTAAATATCTCGAAAAGTTTGTTTCGATATAAAAGAACTGAAGGTTAAAGAGTCACTGGGAGCCAGCAAGGTTAACCCATGGGCCACAATTTATGGAAAAACAATCGTTATGCAACATTTGAACACTGTCATGAACCAATGTTTTTTCAAAACAGTTTTTCCTGATGATATGAAAACTGCTATGTGACTCCCATATTTAGAATGGGTGATAATCTAAATACTAAAAATTGTGGAACTGAATTAATTACAACAGCTTTCTCAAAAAAATATGAGAAAACTTTATATAAACAAAAAACGTTGCTTCGAAATCAAAACATTTTATTGAATATTCTTCAATTCGGTTTCAGATAAATTTTTTCGACAATTAATGCAGTTTTCTGCTCTACTGAATTAATAAAGAATGAAATTGTGCAGCTACTAAAGTAGTTCATTTCTCGAATAGTTCACTTGATCTTTCGGAGACCTTCGATTCAATATCCAACGAAATTTTATTGAGTGATTTAATAACACTGAACTTATCATGATCATCGCTGAAGCTAATTAGAAACTGTAAGAAAGAAAGTTACGACCGGTAATATTTGAAGAAACAATTTCTGACTGGGTTGAACTCAAACAAGGAGTACCGCAAGGTGTTTACTGTTCTCTGACCTCTACTAATCAACATTTATCTTAAAGCCATTCCAATTAGGCTAGTTAGACAAACTGAAATAGTTTAATATGCAGACGATTGTCTGGTTTTTTCTAATGACATAAATTCTGCATCAGTTTTATGTATTTTACAGAAAAACATGACTTCCCTCGAAGAATTGTATAATTCCCAGCATTTGTTTTTTTAATTGCACTGAAAACCAAAATTCTAACCTTTTGTAAGAAAAAAGACAAAAGGGGTAGCGAGACCCACTATATAAGCATCGGAAACATATTGGTCACAGAAACAACCGAATGCAAAGGCATAAACTTAGAAAAAAATTTACCAAGCCAGGCTAAAACTACTTTGAAACTTATGGCTATAGCAACTAGAACAATCGATAGTATTGAAAAGCAGATACAGACTGGAGCCTTAAATATGCTTCTCTAGACTTTTGTTTTGGTCTATTTGGACCATTCATTTCTAATAAATCAACAAAAGTCCAATGCTTTATTATTATCCTTAGAAAAACGGATCAATTGGGCCTTAAAACGAGTTTTTTTTGTTCGAAATTGAGGTCGTCCAAAGAACTCAGACTAAGCAAAGGTGGAGTCAGTGTCAGGAAAACTCTGAAACTTAATTCACTATGTTATTTGTTTCAGTACATTAAAATGAAAGAGAACCTTTTAAACATGACGCGTTCTTACCAACAGCCAATTATCGAATTAGTTTGAATAACATTATTGTCTTTCAAAGAAAAAATTCATGTGTTTTTTTCAGTTAATTTTTTTTCTATATGACTTCTGTAAACTATGACTCACTATCGTCAGATAATTGGCGTATTAATTTAATTCTACATGTTGTCAAAAGTCGACTGAACATTTTTTTTAGAGATCCAAATAAACTCAAATATCTAAATAAGCAACAATCATTCTCGGTGAGATTTCGGGTTTAATTTATAACCTTTAAACTCAAATTTCAACAAAATTTTAGCGCTGCCACATTAATCTCTTACGTTCTACAAAGTATACTTTTATAAGTTACATTATTTTGTTTACTTATCATTATGCTTTGTCTATACATTAATTACAGTGTCTTTCTCTCTCTTTCTCTCTCTCTCTCTAATTATATGACTAGACTTTAGTTTCTGAGACTTTCTATTAGTTTTCTCTTCCTTCCGATTAAATTAAAATTAAACTTAATTTTTTGATTTGTCTTAAGATCCAATTTCGAACTATGTCAATTTTTTTGTTTTGAGGGTTATTTGTTTTTGTGTTAGCCAGAAAGGCGTTTTCAAAACTATAACTTGGAGGTCAGTTCCTTGCTCCTGAATTCATCGCACGTGTTTATTCGCGGTTTCTCCTTCCAGATGTGACGTGCTTCTAATGTCAGTAGCTTGACGTTTGTGTTAGCTTGGTCTATAACCTCTCTTGACATTCCAGCGCTCAAGCTCTCATTTCCACACTGCCTTAGGTGTTTTCCGACAGGTGAGTCCTCTTTACGGTTTTCTTCAACTCTAGTGGCTAGATGTCGAACCATTTGGTCAACATAGGTGGAGTTACATCGACAACATGAAATCTTGTTAGATACTTTTGATTTTAGTTTAGAAAAGAAAATGTAGAAATTGTTACTTATTGGCTGGTTCTTTTGACGTCGGTCTTGTTATTCTTGAAAAATCAAAAGAAAGGGTCGTAAACGAACGACAGCTATGAGATCTTAAAATAAAAAAAACCACTCAGAGCCAAAATTGTTGCAATGCCTAAGCCCCTTCCTCAAGGGTCAAGCACTCCATAGATAGATCTTGAGCAGAGAATGGAGCTAATCAGCAGCAAGATCGTTGATGGAAATATAAAAGGAGGAATAAGGCTGGCCGGTTTAGATGACAAGATTCCTAACTATAAAACATTGGTATCTAAACACCCGAAAAGAGCTGATATAAACTCCCCAAACCCGGAAAACGTTGATAGTTTTTTTCTTAATTGAGTTTGAGGTGTAAAAAGCAACCATGTTTTTTCCAAATGGTTCGAGAGTCAGTCTGGACAAGATTGATCCTCAAGATTTTGAAGACGTATTAATAAATCAAACGGCAACGCGAGGCTCAATTTCCTGAAATCGCTTTTTACGCTCCGAAAACTTTTTGGTGAAAGTAAAATAACTGCTCAGCTGAGACCTTTTTTTGGAGCAAAAATTATCGCTCTCGTTAAAACAGACACATTGTCATCGGCAACACGCTCAGACGCATCGCGTCTAAATGCACAGGAAGCAAGGGTCTCTCAGAGCCACAAATTTTTTTGAGAAATTTCAAATAGGTTGTGGTCTTAAACCTGAAGCTGAAATTGCTGCATACTCTTTTAGAAAAATGACAGAGCGTGATGACAACCCAAAGTGCTCAGATTTCTTTCATTTCAATTTTATCAATGCATTTGATATGCGCTGAATTGAAAAACTATGCTGAATCACGTTTTTTCGTAGCACCCGGAGTTGTACAATATACTCATTGCGCCTACAGTAAACCGACTTATCTTTTTTACAGATACTCCATCATAATGCCGGAGGACGGAACACAACAAGGTGAAAAAATACAGACGCTAGTGAAAAAGCTTGATTCCAAAATAAACGTTTGGTAATTAGATGATGAAAATGTAGCCGACGACTGCAAGATAGTGCTCCGAAACCTTAAAAGTTACTGAAACCAGAAAAAGACTACGACTTAAGCTTTAACACAGAAAAATGGGAGCTATGTTTTCTATGACAGGCCAAAAATTTGCACTACAAAACAATTATAGGCCAGATTCAAACAGTCTGTCCAAAAATAAATATCAAATCCATATGAACTTGTAGTCTTGAACTCCCTTATAGGCACTTTTTGCCGCCAACAAAAACTGCTAAAATGACAAAATAGCTGTGCTGGAAAAAAATTTGGAAGTTTTGATAAGCTGAATGCACTTTGTGGTTTTCACCCCAAAGTGCATTCAGCTTATCATGACGAAAAATATGCTGTAACATGACGAACCTCCTATATTTTTTGCGTATAAATCCCTGTTGATTGTGAAGTCAATTTTTGGAAAAAAACGCTTTATGTAAGGTAGCAATTGTAAAAATGAATGAAAGCTAAATTTTGCAAGCTGTTTTTCCGTTAGTTAAAGGTGGCTTGGGTGTATCTCTCGCTCTTCTACTAGCTTTGCCTGCTTTCTTAGCCTCAGCCGTAAGAGCGAAAGCTAACTTAAATAGTATATTCCGTTTGAAGCACGAGGATGGAACATATGATGATGCGTTAGAACTTTGAAATGGTTCACCAAATGTGATGAGGTGTCGGAAAACAAATTGCAAAAAAATAAGACAAAACCCATTTTTGATAAAGAAGTTTCTCAAATGGTTTTGAAATGGTTTAAAACCTACTGATATAAAAAGATTCAGTGCTTAACAGGGATAGTTCTGATCGCAATGGTTGAATGTCATGCCGTGTAAAAATTTAAGATTGAAATAGTCGAATCAGCAGGTTAGAATTACCATTTGACTCCGCCTACTTTCAAAATTTTGTGAAAAACAGATGGGTTTGGAGAAGAGATATAACCGAAGATGGATGGCATGGCCTATCTTGTCTCAAAAGAGCACGGAGGCTCTTTGCTTTTTTGAATGACCTTTTAAAGCAAAGTCTCGCCTCCACTCACATTCCTTCTGTTTTAGAGCCACAGCATTTACAGATCAGAAGCGACCAGACGATTTAACCCTCATCCCATGGGCTGTTGCTAGGCAGTTCGTGTGAGATGAAACGGCAGTTGACTCCCTAATCTCTAATAAAATAAGCGCAGACTCGGTTTGTAAGGCGGCCGAGGCTGAAGATCGAAAACCGGACAAATGTAGAGATTTAAATAATGATGGATATGTTTTTCAACCAATGCCTTTTGAAGTTCAAGGTGCCGCCGGCATTAGCACTGAGGATTTTCTGAATAAGTTTTGTAAGAACTTGTGAACGTGTATCGAGGATCCCAGGGCAGGTAGTTTTCTTAAACAGAGAATCTCCCTCGTAATACAGGTTGCGAAACCTGCCTGTGTACTGGGCTCTATTAATGACAAAACTAATCTCGAAGAAAAGTTTTTCTTATATAGCCAAGGAGACAAAAGTGCAGCTTTATATAAATATATGATATACCCGTAGCCTCATATCAGGTCAAACTTTTTGACTCCGGTTTATTCTGTGCAGGTGTTAGTTTTCTCAATCTGGTTGGCTTGATTTCCAACCACCACACTCACTTAACTTCTATCCACATTATATTTTACTCTTCCTTATCTAAAATTTCCGTGGATTTTGTCTGGATAATGTGATGATGGGACCCCTGACTGTAACTTCGGTTACTATGATACTTTAGACCTACTGTTTATTTAATTGTACAGAAAAAAAATTAAGTAGCTGCAAACAGTGCCTTCTTCAAAGTAAATTCAGCTGAGCAGATCAACTTAGTTTCGCATTTTCTTCTAAGATCGGCAGGAATTTTTATTTCAAAATTCTCTTTAAACCGGTTCATCATGCGATTCTATTTTTCAGTAAAGAAGACCTAATTTTTTTTAATGTTGTCAGACCTAAAATAAGCTCTTGCTTTACACGTAACAATCTTTGTGTCATTCCACCGGATGGCACAGCTGAACCCTTCGTTGCACAGAAAATACGGCACTAAGCACCTTTTTTACGAACGCAAAGGAGGGTAAGATTATTCTGGAAATGAACGTTTTTACAAAACGGTCGTGCGACAAGAGAAGAGAAAGGAAGAGAAACAAGATATACTGAATTGAAGCTTCTGGACGCAGAACGCATACGCAAAAAACAGCTTGAGCGCAAGTTCGAAAGGAGCCAGAAGGCTAGGTGGATTATTCGGAAGGTCAGAACACTCCCGAGCAGAGAAACAGAGAAGATAACGTTATTTCTCTGTGAGATCGGAATTAGAGACTTTTAAAAAAACTTGCAACCTCTTAGCTGCTATATTGCCCTGACCGATTTTATTTTTCACTCAATTATAATAATAAAATCACAAAGTTAGTTTAAGGGAACGCTAAGTAAGATTTTAAAAAATCTCAGAAAATTACGGGAAAAATTATTACGAAATTTTTACGTAGTATTTCGTAAATTGGATTGGTGGAAACATGTTTTCTTTTGGTTTAGAACCATTCAATTCTATTTTATGATGTTTCAACGTCTGTAAATCTTTTCATACCAATCATTTTTACCTAAAGGCATTTCATCTCTAATGAATCCGATTTTTAGATGTAACTAAAAAATTTATAATTTGCTGTAAGCCCAATTGTTATTAGTAATCTTATTGTCTGGGGATCCGAAATGTGGTTATTACCCAGCTATGTGGTTATTACCACATATAAACAAGGCTACAAAAAATTAATTTGGCTGATAGCCTTAAAACTCTTAAAAAGACCAATAATCAGTTGGCTAGTTCGAGACGGTGAAAATAGCTTAGAGTTAAGGCAACTGACTTCAGCCAGTTGTCAATAGGGAGTTTTTTCTGTCGGTGTGTAATTTCTCGACGGATGTTACACTTTAAATTCATCAATGAGCAAATTTTGAAGAAGCGCTAGAGTATGTAAAAAATGTCTTCGACTTTGTCAATTTCTCCAGTAGCTCTGAGGATGCTAACACAGTTTCCATTTTGATCTGTTATTGTTATTCTCTGCATTGGAAAGGAGGCGACCCGAGATTCTCTTGACGCACCACACGTACTCTCACGCAGTTTCTTCATATATTTTTTGGTCGTAGGCCCATAAGCGCTTGCTCGGTTTCACCTATAGGCTCAAAATGGTGACCACTGAAGCTAATATCTAGATTTTTGCTTCTTTTATAAATCTCGGTTTGCACTGCCGCATTTCACACGTCCAATGTACGAAAATGCAAATTTAACCTTCCAACTAGATCAAATATGGAACAACTCGAAAGAGTTCAAAAACTGTATTTGGGTCAAGTACGAAACGAATATTTGGGTCAAGTAAAGGTTATGATGAAAGACTACGGGATCTCAATCCTCTCCCTCTGAAGCAATTTATTGAACTGCACGATGTAGTGTTTTTCAATATATAAGTTATGCTTCTTTGATAGCAGAACCAAAGCAGAAAGAGGTATAAGAAGCCACAAAGTTTTGATACATCGCTATAGGCATTAAATCACTGATAAGGATACAACGAAACAGGAAAAAAGACAATTCACTAATGAAAAACTGGTGACTAGGGACGGCGTACAAAACCATCCTCTATAATGTTGGCAGCCTGTTGGAATTTAGAAAGAGAAATCGGCTAGGCGATTTCAGCCACGGACACAACTTCGACATAATACTACTGACTTAAAAATGACTGAGACCCACCCAGAAAAAAAAATGTTTCAGCACACGGCGACGTTTTCATTGCAGTCAGAAATTTAAAAAAAGCAGAAATGGATATCAGCTGCTTACCCATAAGTATGCAAGCATCGTTAACAATTTTTAGTCGACACCTGCAAACCAATTCATGTAGCAGTACTTTGCAATCCAGCTGTTATACTCACGGATTTGGTGTAAATCATTTAGATAAGATGTGAGACATAGTCTGTGTGTTAAGAGTTTGGAGACAAGAAGATTTTGTTATCAACTTAAATTCAATCGATAAGTTTATGTACGATTCGAATCTGACCTCGAAATCATGAGAAAGACAGAGACTCATAAACAACTATTGAATATGGTGTTAGGTTAATAGGTACTTAATTAGATCAAACATCTATATGATTACGTTTACATAAGCACGTATGGTTAAGTATTACAACTATAAACACGCAATACTGAGTTCTATTGGATATCTAGTATATCCGTACGAATAACATTCTCCCTTCTTTTTTTCTATATGATGTAAACATCATATTTTATCTTATTCTCCCGGTTGGTCCTCTTTGTTCGTCGGAGTTGTGTTCTGGGGGTTGTTTGATTGTCCTCTTCGCTGATCTTTGCCTTCGTTGGTTTAAGTACGTTTCTGGGACGGTCTTGTTGTTCGCATTCTCTTCGGAATGTCATTGAACTTTTCGTCGGCGAAATTGATTTTAGGATTTTCATTGCGTCGTTGAAACTGTAGATTAGCGATTTATCTGGTGAATGAAAGGTTCCCTCTGGTCTGTCGATTACGTAACGTGAGCTAATTGCTCTTTGCGTTGGGGTTTATGGCGATTCGGGTCGTGTGGTCGTGCTTGTTGCTGTGAACAAGTTATCCTCCGGATCGTTTAGTGGTGATTTGGGTCGTGTGGTCGTGCTTGTTGCTGTGAACAAGCTATCCTCCGGCTCATGTGTTTCTCGTATGGGTTCGCAACCTTGTTTGTTTGGCCAGTCGATTGTTTCCTCGGTTCTCAATTGTTCTGGTGTTCCCTGGTTTTTTGCTTAATTCGATGCACTCAATGTCTGTTGACGATTCGTGATTGATATCAGCGGCTTAGGGGGTTTTTTCTTTTTCTTTTATTTCCGGGGTTTGTATCGCTATAATACAGACCGCGGTGTCCGCGGTGTTGACATTATCAATAATGTTGATCGGGATCGCAATTCCAAATTTATTCGCGAGGGCGCTTGTTTTAGTCCTGGTGGATCTTCTGCTAGGTAGGATGTCTTGTGGCGGCGTGTTTTTTCTGTTGACTCTTTTGGCTGGGGGCTTTTGTGGTGATTGTGTTTCGTTTTGGCAGATAGAATCATCCGATGATAATGAGATTGACGTGTCACATTCGAACTCAATGTGTGTATTATCTCTGCGTACTTTTTCTGGACTGCCTTTTCCTCTACGACTTGGCGATTTGAGGTGTATCATGGTTGGTGATTTTTGTGTAGTAGATTGGGGTTGTCTTTTCAGAGTAGCGGGTGTCGTTTCATGAATTCGCTGTGGCCCTTATGCTTTGCGATTTATCGTTTGTCTGATTATCTGCTCTTTGTTTTTGGGGCGGCTTTCATTTGGGGCTTACAGATGTCCATGGTTTCTGCGAGATTTACTCCTGATCCCTGGCGGTTTGGTTAGCGGATTTTTTCAGTGGGCGACTTGACCCAGTTGGTTTTGTTGGGTCAACTCCTGCAGCTGAAACACGGGGTATAGCTCTTGGTAAGTGTTTGTATGCTACAAAGTTTGTTAGTTGGACCGGTCTTTATTTTCCGTATAATCGAGGGTCCGGTACAAAAGCTAGACCGTCGTGTCTTATGACTCGAGGTTGTTTTCCATCTTCCCGAACCCACGCAGTGTGCGGGGAGTAACTAATGGTTGACCCATTTTCGATTATTTTAAATTGTGCACCAAATACCCCAGGATTTTTTGTTTTACGTACTATGGTACCCAATTTTCTTGCCACTTGTTCCATACGTTTTCCCAATTTTGGGTCTAGCGTGTTCTGGGGTCCTTTAAAACAATCTTTTAGGAAAACCAGCGGGACTCTTTCTAGCCTTTGTTTTTCTTGTTTTGTAAGCCAACGTATGCGTTTTTTTTTCTAATGTCTGCAATATCGTTTTGCGGATTATCGGCGAGAAAAGATCGTTTAACTTTTTGTAATTCATAAGGTATGTTTTTAAGTGGAAGATGCGCACCTATTGGAAATTTTTTCATCGGAGCCCGATCAAACTCATTGTCCTCGTCTGTGTCAGAGAGTGTCACTTGGTTTTTTGGCGTCGCAGAGTGGCTAGAAGGGGTTGTCTTACTCCTTCCTGATGTCCTATCTTGTTCCGCCTGTTTTGAGGGTCCCGCTGGTTCAAATGATGGCTCGAGAAGGTAGTTACTTTTTTTACACGACACTCAATGCGTCCTCACTGTTCATCTCTCTATTCCATATTGCCTCAGGCGTGAGTGCGGGTTTTGTGAGGACCTTTTCATCTAAACACGAAATTTGTGTGTTTTCCCATGAGAGCTTAGAATTTTTTGGTGTTGTGCAGATATTACTTAGTGGAGTGTTTGGTTTACGCCCATTGTGTGCCTCAAACGGTATAATTTTTGTTGTCGCATGCGGTGTAATACGCAGTGTCTTGATTAACTCTGCTACGTCCGACGCTAGTTTATACGGTGTATTATTTTTATCTATCCTCATTATTGACAGACGAGTTTTTAAAGTTCTGATGAGTCTTTCTACCATGCCCACTGAGCGATGATCGTCGACTGGGGCGAATATCATTTTAATGTTATTGCTTTTACAATAGATCATAAATTTTTTGGCCAGGAATGCTTGAGCTTGGTCACACCGGATATTTTGTGGTACGCCGTGATTTACAATATGCTTTTGCATAAATTTGATGATTGTATCAGCTTTGTTATTAGCGACCACTTTTGCAGATGGGAATCTCGAGAAACGATCTACCCCAACCAGAATGTACACTTATTTATTGTTTTCGTCCGGCAATGATCCGGCAAATTCCAATTGGATTTCTTCATTCGGTTCTACCACTGCGTCTAGACTAGTGAACTGTTTTTTCCCGGATATTACTTTAAGGTTCTTACCTATTGCACGACATTTCTTGCATTTTTGTGTAACAATATCCCTATGGAGGTATGGGTACCATATGTGTTTGGCAGTTTCCAACATGCCACCCTGTCCAGGATGTGTTAAATGGATCGAGTCGCAAATGATCTGCCTTAGTTGTTTAGGGATTACTGCTCGGTCGTCATATAGTAGCACGCTATTGCGGACAGACAGTCTGTTGCGAACGTTGTAAAAATACGGTCCGTAGCAGGCTTTTATTTTATCCCACTTTTCTTGTCGTACCATATTAATAAGGGGTTGAAGATTACGGTCGCGTTTTGTGGCCGCCGTGAGGAAGTGCTTTCCGTTGATTTTTCCGAAATAGTGGTACGTCTTCATCCTCTAATGCAATGGCGTGACATTCTTCTTACTGTTGGCCGTCCGTTTCTGTTTGACATATCTGGTCAGACTTTTTGTTGAAAGTAAGACTGTCCTCCGACGGAATCACCTGGTGCATTACGTCACCGAAAGGAAAGGGTTGTAGCGGGGATTTTTTGTGGAGTTTCTGTAAATGACGCGAAGTTAGTTGGTGGAATTGTCACTGTTGTTTGTTGTCCGCTGTGGCGTTTTCGTAAAGTCCTCTTAAATCATGGTAGCGCCATACCCGTTTGAAGTTGTCTGCTCATCTTTGTGTAATCTCGTATTGGATATAGGGATATTGATGATCACTGGCTATTTTCTGTTGAACTGAGGTGTCTTTTTGTTTTGACTTTGATTAATTAATGTGGAGTAATTTGAAATGTTTGAATCAGAACGTGCGTGTTTGTTTTTCAGAAGTGGACTTTTAACAGTGAAATTTGTTTGTTTTGCGTCCAAATTTTAACGAGTGAAGTTTTCGTTCCGGTCGAGCTGTGAAGTGCATCAAACTCCGTGTGGCTTTTTATTCATTTCAATGTTAACTATATTGTTGTCTTGAAATTCAAGGTAAGTGATGAAATCATCGATAAGGGCTACTACAAAATGTTCGTCCCAGTACGCCTCGGATTGTGGTTTCCCCACCGGGTGGCGCAAAATAAAATCGATTGAGCCCATTTTGCTACCGGAAAGATAATTTATTTCAAAGTCAAACAGAAGCAGACGGTCAATCCATCTAGTTAACCGACTTTGATATGTTTTATTACTTTTATTGCTGTTTAAGGCACTAACCAAAGCTTGGTGGGTGGTGATTGATGTAAAGCGGCGACCGTACAGGTAAAACTTAAAGTGATCGATGGCCCACACCGCGGCCAGTAGTTCCAACTCGTTTACCGAATATTTTGTTCCGCAGGTATTTAAAAATCAGGAGGCATATGCAACCGTAGCCCATCCATCTGGAGTCTCTTGTTTAAGGGCTGCTCCGATATCATCGCGGCTTGCGTCGCATACAATTCTTGTCTCACGGTTATTTACGAAGGGTCGATTTTCTGTGATGTTTTGAACTGCTGTTATAATAGTTTTGAACGCCCGCTCATGTTTTTCTTCCACAACGAAGTGAAATTTAGACAATGATGATAAGAGTGGTTTGAGCGGTGTACACAATTGAGCCAAGTTTGGTATAAATTTATTTAATTGATGAACCGACCCCATAAAACTTTTGAGTTGCTTGAAAGTCTTAGAATGCTGAAGTTTTGTGATTGCGTCGGTTTTCTTGTGCATCGGTAATGTTCCGTATTCTTTTATGACAAATCCCAGCCATTCGACTTCTTTACAGCCAAATTTGCACGTATTTACAGAAATAGCCATAGTTTCGTGGACCAACTTGTCCAATACTCGTTTTAATATATCAATATGTTGTTCTTTTGTTCCGTGAGATATAATTAGGATATTTTCGAGAAAAGCGAATGTACAATGTATCCTTTTCGTTGTTTAAAGTTAGATCAATGGCATTCTGGAATTCTGCGGGCATATCCGTGAGCCCGTAGAATTCAGTTTGAATTTGGTAAAAGCCGCGTGCTTGCCCACCTATTATACTAAAAGTACACTGCAGTTTTGTTGTATCATCCAATTTTAGTTGACTGTAGGCATAGCGAAGGTCAATTGTAGAAAAAAAGTTGTTGTCCCTGGTTTTTTATTACCCTTTTGAGCTGATTGGTTT